AGGAGAAGGCAAGAGAAGTGGATGAGGGAGCCTGCACTCGGACTGGCTTTTATATTGCTCCAGACCGCCCCAGGCCCAGAGGCACCCTTGGCGCACATAATGTGTTTACCAACAAGCTCATCTTGCATGCAAAGCATCACAATTACAGAAATGGGGACACTGCTTATGTTCCCTGCAACGCTGCCTTTTCATTTCCCTGCTCAGGACATGCCCCTTCAGCCACACAGGCTCCTTTCAAGTGACAGTATTAGAGGCCAAGATGTTTCCCGGGGAAATGACACGTCAGCACAGGCTGATGATGCAGCCAGTGAGGAGGAGTGTCCCGCCCCGCCAGGTGATGCCATCCCTTTGCCCTCCAGGGCCTCACTTTAAAGTGTTTCCTGATGAACGGGGCAGGTCACCTCACAACCCTGAGGCTTCAGCTTGGACATCCACATGCACGGCTCGGCACCATTCCTTGCTCTCCCTCATGCTCTGCTCACTCATTCCTTACCAGGCATCATCTCTCCAGGCACGGCAGTTGTGCTCTTGGTTTTTAGACTCTCTCGCTGAGCCTGAGCTTTGCTCTCAGCAGAAGTTTGCCCGGCTCTTTTGCCACCTTCCTTCTCTCCTTCCTCCCTACCCACCTTAAACACCAGACCACCAGTGGTTAAGGATGAAGGCTATTCCCCTCCCAACACTCTCTGCTGGACACCTCTGGCAAACTTGGAGTCACCCCAGTGACCCAGGCACGTGCTGGCCAATCGATACACATCCTTCTTCCTCCCCGTGTCTTTGCCACAACTGCTGCTTTGGCCATCCAGACTGCTTCCACACCAGGCATGAACAAAGACCTCGCAGTGTTTCCAGTGGACACCCAACCCTGCTGAGCAGGAAGCAGGTTCCACGAGTCTTTGCAAGGACAGTTAGAAGAGCACAGCACAATCTATGCCCCCTGCCCTACCTGAAGCATGACCAGAGCAGCAGGACCAAAGTATTGCCTGAGGAGCAGAAGGATATGGGAAGGAGTGACGGAGAACAAAACTGGCAGGTCACCACTCCACAGCTTGAGGCCTGGTTGGAAGGGCAAAAGGATTACTGCTTGGGACCTCTCCAGGAATCGTCAGCGCAGCACCCAAGTTTGATTTCTGTAGGATTTGCTGTCCATGTGCTCCAGATTCACGTCCATTCAGGAAACAGTGACTCACACAGAAGGACTCTACAACAGTTCATGCTTTTAATCACAAGAATGCTCTGGTGGGGGCAAAGATGCTTCTCCTGCTCCCTTGTAGCCCTCCATAGAGTTTCCAGGACACGTCACAATGCTACCCATCTCTTCCAGATGAGGGATGAGAATCCTTGCTTGTCCATTCCCCTCCCTTACACATTTTACGCACCAATGGCCAAGCCATCCACATCGTGCCAAAAATCTAGCAGAGGGCTCACATCCCCCTTTACACAGTTACCCTGGCTGCCACATGTCGCGTTATCTCCAGTGGGACTGCCACCAATTCCAGGGTTTGGAAGAAGTGCTTGGGGGAGGGAAGGGCAAGGACACTTTCTGAGTGGTAACATGCAATCAGAGCCTTGGGGAGATGAGCATTAGCCTGCACAGAAATGTCTTCCAGCAGGTCAAAGGTTTGGCTCCTCAACTGGAAGCCAGGATCCAACCTCAGTTGTTACTCACATGTCCCTTAGGGGATCTAGGGGATCTCCGGCCCACACTTTCCATACTCAGACAATACCACACACTCCTCCTCTGTCCCATGCCTTTTCCAACCCCCAAGGCCCCTGAGAGTACTCAGCTACTCTGGGCACAATGGATGTCCACCAATGGCCCGTACCCGTCCACCCATCTCCCCTCCACGGCATCACATTTCCCCCCGGACAGCTTGGCTTGGTTTGTCAAGAAGGGAAGGAACACGAGGAGACATCAAGCTACAATGCAGCACAAACTTTAATGAGTCTAAAGAGTGAAACAAAGCAGGGCATGGTGCAAGGGACCCAGACAACGCTGCTACAAGGGCAGCTGACGGCCAGGCACCCCTTCACACCAATGGATGCGACACATGTCGTCCTCCCACGCACAGGCGGAGAGGGTGATAAGCAGGGCCCCGCTCAACTTGCTTCAGGATGAACCCATGGCACAGGAGAGCAGGAGACAACAGGGACTCATGATGCGGAGAAGAAAGCAGCAGGAGAAGAAGAAGACATCAGCTGGCCATGTTTCCAGACAGCACAGGCTGGCACCTTGCTCAACCCTTCTGGAAACCCTGGCCAGCAGCTCCGTCCTCAATCCGGCACCTGGCTGTGGGCTTCCTGGTCGATGCGCTCACTGGACGTCCAGCACGGCTTTAGCAGGGCAGGCACCTTCTGCCGTAGTAGCGGCCACCAAAGCCACCAAGGCTACCAAGGCCAAAGCCCCCGGAGTTGATGGGCACTCCTTCCTCACTCAGGATGCTGCCAACAGCCGCGGAGGTGGTGGATCCCACAGCGGTGTTCTGGGGGAAGGAGCTGAGGATGGGTCCCGGCAGGGTCACCACCACGGGAGAGGGCTGGATCACCACGCGGGAGTCCTGGCACTGCCTGACACAGGGCTCGTTGCAGCTGTTGGCCAGCGGGGTTGGGCCACAGGGACGGCACAGATCGTAGCAGGACATGGCTGTGGGACGGAGGTGCACCTGGGAGAGAGGGCAGGGAAAGCAGAGGCAGCATGTGAGGCACAGCCTGACAGCCTGCTCGGCAAGAGAGAAGTCCCAGGCTGGGGAGCAGGGACAGGCTGCGTGGGGAGGAAGAGAGATTTAGGAGCTGCAGTCCCCAACAACACCATGCAAACACAGACAAGACGTTCTCTCATCTCCATCAGAAGGGAAGAGAGAGGGTTGGCAATGGTTTCAACAGAGCATGACTGAGGGACAGACACAGCTGAGCCCAAAAGACAAAGAGAAAAATGTGAAAGAAAAGAAACAGACCAAGGCACTTGCTGCTTACCTTGTTCACCACAAAGGAGAAGGCAAGAGAAGTGGATGAGGGAGCCTGCACT